ATTACATTCAACATTCACTTAGAAATTGTCACAGCTCAGAAGAATCAGGCTAACTTCTAGGTGACAGCAGCTACAGAAATTCTTAATACCAATTAGAGGATCTCATTCTGTGTCAGGACAGCCATGTGGGATAATTCCACTGTGTTTGCTATTAGAGATAGTCCCAAATGTTTAAGTAGTAATTTTAACATTAATTTCACTTGCTTATTTCTTTTTAAACTCACTTCAGCTGCATATGCATGACATTTTCTAGAACTGGCAGAAATACCCTAGAAAGTCCTAGCTTATTCCCTGAAGCAATGAATTTTATATTATGCTAAAATGCAAGATGTTGTTTTGTAGAGGTTCAGTGTTTAAATACATACATACCTCTTGGCCATGTGTCTTGAGTCTTTCTCTAACTGATCAGCATATTTTCACAGGAATGCAATTTGATCATCTTGCAGTTATTTTCTTCTCAGTGCGACTACTGCAGCCAATACTGGTAGAAATCTTTTCTATAGAAATGCTGTTCTTCTGATAAACACAGAATTATCCCGTTCTCAGTTAAGCCATTTTGCCCTAACCTTTTCTTCAGCAGTGTTTTTACTTTTATTCTCTGAATATCCCCACTGAATTAATGATACTGAGTACAGATGTGTTTTTTAGCTCCTCATTAGTAGAGATGCTTTTCTATATTTGTCCTACCTTCCTAAATCATTAGGGACCAGACAATAGCTTCTGCCTTTCCACATTGCTTTTTTAGCACAATACTGTTGATTGTGCACTCTATGATTTTGTAATATAGGCACATTATTTTTCTATTGTGAATTAAAATGAATTTCTCAAACTCATTAAGTATAGTGTAACATATATTACATTTCCCATTGTGATGAGATATTCCAGAGTTCACTTGTCAGTGCCAACTTTCTTATTACATCCATTCCCTTGGGAATTAGTTTTGTTAGTGCTTTTAAATCCTCTGCTTCTGATGTGAATGAAAGCTATCCATAAATAGGGTCATAGAGTTATCAGAAACATTACTTAGTAGTGCTCTATGAAGGAATGTTCTTCTGCAGTTATATTCAGAAGTGTGTAAGATATTTCATAAAACATTGTATAATGACTAGTGGCACACATTTGCTTTTTAACACCAACACCGTAGCATTGGTGGGCTAAAGCAACTTCTGAAACGAACAAGTTAGCAAATGCCTGCCAGACAATAAGATCTGTTTGAACAGATTTATAGCATGTTTTAAATGTGGACATACTAATTTTTCAAAAGGTGATACTTTCAGAATGAATGGTGATGATTTTACCTTGGAAATCCTTCCCAGAAAAAGCCAATAAGTGCACTACAGCCAGTTAATAAGATACCACTGAAAGATACAAGAACATCAGAAGGCAGACAGACGGTTTGTTGCTCACTGACAGCTTCCATAGATCACCCTTGTACCACAAACTGGATCTTAAAATGAACAAATAGACAATTCAGAGTGTTACTGCTCTGAATTGTACACTTTCAGACTCTCCTGTCTTTCCAGAGATTTCAGATGCATTTCCCAGAAGAAGCCTATATAATTCTTTGTAAGCATACACCAGCCAAAGACTTGATGAAGTTGGTTTTATGATGCCTCAAAGTTGCATCTTCTCCACCTGCCCTCTGTAGAACTTTCCCTCCTCCTCCCCCCCGTTATTTCTTCCCATATTTTTCTTTCACTGTTTTTCATTGAAGGACATTCATCAGGTTGAAGGACCATTGATAACATACAAATTTTACATAGTTTAAAATGATATGTACAGTTTACTAATAATATTTTATATATTAAAATGATAGAAATAAATCAGTCTTCTATGCATCTCTGTTTAAATCACCCTTCTTGTTTTGGACCAGTCAGTTACTGCAAAACTTCCATGTAAAAAAAGTTTAAGCTTTTAATGTTTCTGTTTGCAACAGTGATCCTGACAGTTATGGTTCTGAAAGATTAGTAACTCTTTAGTGTCAGGAATTATTCACTAACTGTGAATAAAAAAATAGTTTTGATTGGAAGAACAATTTGTCTGATTTTCAAACTTTTAAAACTTCATTGACTTCATGAATGGGTGCAGAGTTCCTACATTTGTGAGAATTACTAGCTCCTAAAGCATCTTTATCAAGAAAAACACAAATCCATGGAGAAAATAAGAATGATGGTGTGACTCCTCCGTGTGGCAAACGGTTTCTCATAAATTGTGGCCATTTTAATTTATTTTTTTCTTTGAGACTCATTTTATAACTCAGAGCATAAATACACAGCTGAGTGATTTTGTAAACAGAATTCTAATAGCAAGTAAAGATTATTTCCTAGCTACTGACTTCTGCCTTCTGTATACTGAATGAAATGTCATTCTTGACTCCAAATATTTTCAACAACAATTTCAATAACACAAATATATATACTCAATTTATCCGAGAGAACTTGGAATTCTTTAGATGATAAGTTACAGCGGGTAAGTATTTCCACAGTATTCAATCATTTCATAAGTAAATTTATTGTTGCATTTTAAATGGTTTGAGGTGCTAATGCTGAAGATGCAATAGAAGTAGCAAAATATTATCTCTACTCTGCTATTCCTTTAGTACTATCTGTATTTTAACAGTATTCAAGTCCTCTGTTTTGCAACAGCTGAACATTTCAAGCCTTTCCTTTATTTACAAATAAGTCAATGATTTCAGGAAAAGTGATAGATAAAGCTTAATAGTCCACAGACATTTAGAAAGGTCTGAATACACACCAAACAAGTGAAAGCATTTCTTAACAGAAATGAGTATGTGGGAGTCTGTGAAGTGTAATTAGTCAACTAAACTGGTTCATAATTGCTTTTCTTTTTCTTTGCTAAAGTAATCATGTTAAAAGTGTTCAGAAACCTTGAATTTTGTTTGATTCAAGTGGGAAAGTGTTTTGAACCAGTCATGATTTAAAAAAGTCTGATATTTGCAGAGAAGAAAATTGAGTTTCTATAAGATATAGATTCTTCCTTTTAATGTTTAGCACAGTAGTATGGGTTAAGGAGGGGGAGGAGAGGGTTAGGTGGATTTGTCTGTTACTTTGTTACTTATACTTTAAAATGCAATAATAACAAAAAATAAAAACCTGCAAGTCAGTTCTAACAATGAACCTTTCCTGACAGTAACACATTTTTGTGCACCAGCTAGGTGTTATTGCTAAAGGAAAAACTTCTTCAAAGGCTAATTTAAGAACGAGTCACCCAGATTGTTAGAGAGAAATACAGATGGAATTGTGACACCTGCACAGAGGTGGAAGCAAAATAGTTCATGAACCTAAAGAATATATTTTTACATTTGGCAGATCCAATCAGAGAACTTACAGCTGCTCCAAACACCATCATACATATTCTTACACTTTTTAATTCAGCCACTTCAAAAAGAATGATGGTATTTGAAATGTAACAATGATTTTTTTCCTTGTTTCTTAGATCTGACACATTTTTGAATGTAAATGCAACTTAAAAGCAAACATGCATTTTTATGGCTGTTGTACTTTTTCACTTTCCTATTTTTTCCCTTAGTCTTCATTCTTGTCTTCTGCCTTGAAAGTATTTTCTTTTATGTTTCTGTTTTCTTCCTCCAGCTCAGTTTTTCCATATATTTTTCTTCTCACCTTTGTGTAAAACTCAACTTTTTACAAAGAATTACAATGAATTTCAGCACAAGCAAATTCAGAGTTCCACATCAGGGATGTAATATTAGAGAGTGGTCTTTCAGAAAAGAATCCAGTACACAAAAAAATCTGAAGAAGCACAGACAGCAGTGTGCCCTTGTAATCAAGCCTAATTGCATACTGAACTTTAATAGCAGAACTGTAGCCTACAAAACAAGGGAATGATTCTTCCTGTGCATTGGACACTTCTGAGCACATACAGGACAACATTTGGGCTTGAAAGCTCATGAAAGACTTTCAACAACTGTAGGAAGCCCAGTGGAGAGCTATTAAGACCACTGGAAATCGAGAACATGTATGATGAGAGCCTTAAAAGGAAAGGGCTAAGGTATCCGCTAATCCTGTCCACAGTTATTTAATAGAAGGCTGCAGAGACAATAAAGCAAAACTGCTTTTGAAGGCTCATGCTGATAAGACAAGAAAGAACACAAGATGGAACACTAGAATTATGATTAGCTATGACAAAAGCCTTTTTCACTAGAGAAATTCAACAGAATCATAGAATTGCAGGATTTGCAAGTGGCTGCTAGATATCATTGAGTCAAACCATTCCATAAAGCCTACAGTAAGTTGCACAGGACAGCATTCAGACAGTTCTTGAATATCTCCATAGAAGGGATCTTGGGAAGGATAGTTAATGCTCCCACTACGTTACAAGATACGGAGCAGCCCCCCCCCCGATCCCTCCCTTGCTTTCTCAGCTCCTTGAGCCACAGAGATCAAGAGCCTAGGTGCAGCTGAATCCACTCCTAGACCCAGTCTCAGTCAATGGATTATATCAAATGGATTACAGATAGAAACATAGAATTGCTCCGGTTAGAAAAGACCTTAAAGATCATCAAGTCTAACTGCAACCTAACGATACTACCTTAATTTTAACAACCCTCTGCTAAATCATGACCCAGAGCAACACATTCAAATGGTTTTTAAACACTTTCAGGGAGGTGACTCAACCATCTCCCACTCCAGTACTTATCCACCCTTTCTGTAAAGAAATTTTTTCTGATATCCAACCTAAACCTCCCCTAACACAATTTGAGCCTATTTCTCTTCATCCAGGGATAAGGGAGAAAAGACCAACCTCTTGCTACACTCACCCTTCAGATATTTGAAGAGAGCAACAAGGTCAAAGACTGAATCTCAGCAGAGACAATAAAGCTTACAATCACCTAAGATGCGATTTTAGGAAAGCTAACAAAGCCTAAGACAAAGTATTACTACTAAAGATCTGCATCAGTAAGGATTCTTGACATCAATATACAAGTGATCTCTATTCAGACATAACCTCAAGAAGCATACCTGCTTAAGGGAAGCTCCTATCATACAATCAGCCACCATACAAAAAAGCTCAGTAGACTTAAGAGTACTGCCTATAACTTGTGGGGTAAGGTGACTGACTCTCAGCCATAAGCTGGTTCTAAGGCACATGCTCAATTGCACTCAGCTGTTGAACCAGGTGTCTGCTAACAGTTCTTTCCTGCCTAATTTGAAACAGCTTTGTGGTTGTTATCAGTACTGTTGCTCATTGTCCTCCTAGGCAAGGCCTTTATTTTGCTCCAAGGACAGAGAGGAGGTTATTTTAATATCTGTATACCTGGCATGAGATTAAGAAACAACAGTTCAAATGTTGGTCCAACCAGTTTATTACAAATCTTAATTAGGGAGATGGGGAAGGGGAGGATGGACACTATTATGAATTAGGGTAATGGGGAAGGGAAGGAGGGCAATAGAAAAGATGGGAAAGAAGAAGCAAGGAGTCTTCGTAGGCAGCAAGAGGGAGATAGTCACCACCATGGATCCAGCGTGGCTCATAGTTCAGTCACTGATCTTCAGCAGCGGTCTGTTCTGTTGACGACGATGACCGCAATGGTGACCACGGTGATGATGACCCCTTTTCAATGCTTTCAAAGTGGTCGAGTCAACTGTCTTTGGAGTGACAGCTCAAATCCAAAGTGGTTGAGTCAGTTCTTCTTGGAGTGGCAGCTTCTGGCTCTGCGATCTCAGCAGAAACTCCTTTGTTTCTATCTTCCTGGCCTTGCCAGCAGATAAGAGGGTGTAGAGAGGCACCAACTTGTATCTTGCCTTCACAGGATACAGTGGCATTCTCATAGCAAGCTGGAGTTATTTGATCACAGGCTAGATCTTCCGCCAGTGCTCTTGAGCACTCTCTTCCGGAGGCAAACTTCTAAAATTTTTCACACAATGATGTTGATTGCCACACAGCAACACCCATCACTCATCTCCTAGACAAGTCAGTCTTATTACAAGAAATACCTAAGGAAGCCTCACATGTAAGGCTACGTTGGAGGAAGAAGTTGAAGAAAAAAGAGGGTAGTTGCAATAGGCTGAGCATTCCATCATATTCAGATCTTTCCTCATCACAACAATTTACATCCCTACTTCTTGTCATGAGTCTGAATTCATCTTTTTTTCTTAAAAAAGCTCAAACCTAAAGGCAAGCATTAATGTAACTGAAAGATTTCTATTAAAAACAGAGCTATGTTTCTAAGTTTTTACAGAAAAAAAAAGAACTGTAAATTTATCTTCAAGAATCCACAACTGCAGTAGCTAATTGAAGGATTAGAAAGAAAGGATTGTTTGTTTTCTAGTTTTATTTTTCTTGAACATTTGAGTCCTCATTTTTAATATATTTATTTTTATTCTTTTTTCATCATATTCTCTGCCTTTTACCATGTTATTATTCCTTATATATGCCTCCCTTTTTCATATTACCTTTCCACCCTATCTTCTCAATATCTATATAAATAAACATCGATCCTTTAGCCTTGGTCACCTCCCACATTTGGAAGAGCTTATAGCAATCCAGCTGGGAGTGACTACTCTCCAGTTATTCTTTTTCTTTCATTTTTTCTATAGTCCTGCTTCTCCAGCATCTATCTAGTATTCCAGATTCCATGATCTTGTTGACTAAAGGCATTCTTATCTTACCTTCTTATCCTTTTTCATTTTTCTTCTCTTCTGATCAAGATGGTATGTATTGGAAACATAGCCAAATCAGAATCTCTAACTCTTATATATCACAGGGTAGGAACAACTTCCAAGAAAGGCTCATCCTCGGAGAGGAAAAATGTATCAATATCACAGTTAAGCAGGTAAGAGTCATATTGGAGGTGAGCAAAGAGAAGCTGCAATTTCAGTGAGGGCCATTCCAGCCACCTAGTTACTGGTTGATCTAACAAAAGTTCATAGCCCATTAGTAAAGGAAGTATTTAATGCACAAAATCACTCTTGTTCATTTAAAACAAGAACAGGAAATTCTCCATCCTGTCCATGCATAACGTATTACAAAGAGCAGAATCAGGGAAAAATAACAAATGCAGAATTCCCCCTTCAAATGGTTTTGTCTTTTCACGCAAAATAGAAGACAGAATTTCCTGTGTCTAGATAGTAGTAGGTAGCAGTTAAATGCTTGAAAATTATCTAAAAATGATAAAGAAAAGTGTGAAAAGGTAGAAGAGTAGGAGTTTTAGAGTTCGGAGACTGATTCCTATGTCTAGCTCCATTTATTCTTTCCTTCCTAACATCAGATATTCTGTACTCAATTAGGAAATGACAGTCTTAAGAATCATTTGCCCTGTTCAATAATATAGCTACCTTATATACAGAAGAAATATTAGCTGCACCTAACAATATATCTTCTTTATTCTGAGGCACACAGACTTATATCACTTACTGGAATATCAGGGCTCATGGTACTGAGTAAGCTAAGCCAAATGCTGAAAGCTCTGCTGTCTGAATAGAAAAGTATGATTGGTCTGAGTTGAAAAATATGATTGATAAATGCTGTGTCAGTTTTGGCAAAAGAAAGATTCTATCATGTTCTGTCTCCTCTATTTCCTTTACCAAAATCCTTTTATTTTACTCTTCGCAGTTAGCCATTATTCTTTTTTCAGCTCACAACTTGCTCCCCTGATTTCCTGCTATTGAAGCAGCTTTGGTTTTGCATAGCTTCTCATGCTAAATCACTGTTTAAAGCTCTTTGATCCCTATCTTTGATCATACTCAGCAAGAAATATCCAGCAGTTATTGCCATCCCAACATAATGCAGTTAGAGATCTTAATGGAGACATGACTTAAAACTGCTATTTGTTTATGATCTGATATAAGTCATTTCTCTAATAAAAAATTGCTAAGGTAGGGGAATAATGTGGAACAAGGAAAAAATATAGAGCAAGAAAATAAAAAATATTTATGCATTGAATCAAATGTACCCATAATGTAACAACGTTGAAGTAAGCAGTTTACTCCACACAATGATTTCTGTCCATGATACATATATAAGGATTTTTTTATACAGCTGCATGAATTTGAGATATAATTGTGTAATCTTACTACATGTTTTCTATTTGCTAGAAAGGTTATGGGTAAGTTTTCTGCAAGAGAAGCTAAAATATCATGGGTTTCTAGATAATAGGCATGACTCAAAGTATTTTTGAAAGTCAAGTAATGGCATGAGAGATTTTTGACATTTCACGCTCTTATTTTTGCCTGAAATGCAGAGGTTGTCTCAGTGAAAGTCTTCTCTGAGAAGACCCCAGACCCTAGTGATTTTAGAGGTCTCCAGGGTGCTGTATTTCCAGTGACCTTCCTCTGAGGTTGACCTCCATCAGGCAGAGTATCCAACATCTTCTGGTCTGAAGCATGAGTGTTAAAATCAGCTCCTGGATCTACTGCAGGTCTCCATGGTTACAGTACAGTCAGTGACTGGTTTGTACACAGGAATAGATGGGATTTTTAGAACTCCAGCTGCTTTTGCAGAGCTGCAGTCCAAGCTGTGACTTTTCCTCCTGACATACAGAGAAAATATAAATCAATTTTCACAAGAGATTATAAACATAAAGGCAATGTCCATTATCCCAGCCCAGTCTGACACAGTGCTCAGGAGCAGAACCGCTCATCAGATAAAGAAGTTCAGAGTGCAGGAGTTACAAAAGGAGAGATCTGCTTATAGGTTTTGGGAAAGAAGCCTTGTAAGAAATAAATAACATCCATTTGTGCAGCTTTTTCTCCCCAAAGCATTTTATCATCAGGCTAGACTTTTGTTTATTTAAATCTCACAAAAATTTCTGATGTATATGAATTGCTGTCCATTAGCATAATGACTTAAACCCAATATTGATGTTAATTAACTGTAGTTATGCATTGTCAGGGCACAGATTATATTCAAATCTGTTTGAAACAGTTAAAAGGACATTAGGAACACACATTCAGCTCATTTTACATTAAGGAAAGATGAAGAAAACCACAAGTAAATATGCCCATTCTTATATGTTTTTGTAAAATTATCATTGTGTTGTATCTCAGCATTTGCAAGGGACCAGGATAATAGCTTTATATCTTGAAACACCATCATCAAAATGCCCTTTAGCAATACTGACTTAGTGGAGAGGATGCCACCTACTAAAATATTAATATCTCTTGCTCTGGGATACTTTTCTTCATCACTGATTGTCAAAACAGAATTGACAGTGTTACCTAGGGAGTTGCTAAGTTTAAACCATATTACTACTGTTCTCAAAAGAGATGAGAGACCTCTTCCTCACATCTCATCTTATACTAGGAGGAGAAAAATAAGCTATTTCCAGCCTTCTTAAAACAAAATACAACCACGGGGAAAAAAATAACATTTCCAAGAAAGGTAATCTAAGACTTTTCTTTCATTTGAGATATTTTTCATTCTCTCCTTCACAGATGGAGAAAAAGTATGTTCAGTTCTCTTCAACAGCTTTTTTCCTACCTCAGAAAAATCTGGAAGGGCGTATATTTTACAAAAGAATAAAATCTTTGTTATTCACTGTGGAGTATGGATAACTTGAGTTTCCTCAGGGACTAATAACACTGGTGAAAGATAGTGGGTCTTAAAGAATAAAAAAGACCAATGAACACACGCTTCTCACTGGCAGAACTCCTTAAAATCAATTTTTTTATTTTTTAATGTTTCTTGTACTGTCAAAAAAGCTCATTTCAAAAGCCTGAACTATTAAAATAGGATGTGAGCTGACTTATATAACAGTATTTAAAAGACACTGACTGCACAAAGGCAGCTCAGGGAACTGAATAAAGCTTTAGCAACGTCAGGATTTTTGGTCTCTTTCAAATAAGCCATTCTTCAAAATACCAGTCAGCATTGTAATCCTTTACTTCTTCATTATGGAAGGAGTCCCCAAAATTTTTTTTTATGTACTAATGCACTTGTATCTCAAACTGATCAATAATTTTCTCCCAGGACAGGAGATAAAAGTTGTTGAGCCAGACAAAAGCAGATAGACACAAAGATTTAAAATATTGCTAATGGATTTGAAACATGAAATAGATGACAACATAAAGAGATTTTCCTTTCCTTTTCA